GCTTTGTACCCTGGCACAGTTTGGTGCAAATTGAGCAGCAATCTGATCACTGCTATCAGGAGAGACCAGTTCATTGGGGGGCAAGGGGGCCTCATTTTTTTAAGTTGTCACGTTGCATTCATATCGGCAAAAAGATACCAGTTGCTCACGGTATTGAACTGTGTCAAAGGATGCCTGTAAAACTTGCCCAGTTTTTCCATGCCAGATTAACGCAAACAGTATACCAAAAACTTTATTCCCTCCTTCTTGCTTTTCATACGGGAAGTAAAACTTTTTCGTTGAGGATGTAAAATGTGAGAAAATGGGCCCTACAATAAAGTCGCACAGAAATGTGACTTCATTAGCAGCTTGTTTTAGAGGCAAGGAATGTACCTACATTTTATGCAAACTTCCTTGCTTCTTGGGTCATAATTAATTTTAGCATAACTGTGCAAATTAGTATTTTATTTTCATTGCTATTTTTTTTTTCTGCCTTTTAGTCACACACCAGGAAAAAGAAAGCAATTGCCTTTGAAGGTGGCTTTTTTGTGTGACCCCATATTACACCAAGCAAGAACTATTACAGCTGTTTGAGAGAGTTGGTTGTTCACACTTCCAATGTTACAGCACACCAAAGCATACAAACTTTGCATAGGCACACAAAAAGGGGGACAATCATGCAGGACTGAGTGAGTGCACCCTATTTTGTGTGCCTGTGCATCTTCCTTTGTGTGCTGTAACATTGGAAGTATGAACTATTACTTATTTCCCACAAATTGGAATATTAGGTTATCAAATGTGGACGTCTTTATTAGAAATATTCTACTAACCTACACCATTTATTTGTGTTAACATACTGTAAAATACCGGGCAAGCGCCCACTCAAAATTCGGAGATAATCGCAAAACAAATGGGGGATGGGCACTTGTCTGGGCATCAGTTTTACATATCAACGTACTGTGCATATTTTCTCAGATCTTACAAATTTGTGAATGGGCACCTAGTGTGGAATGGGTGGATGTGCGGTACTCTACGGTAATCACTTCCGTTAATAACTATACTTCTTACAGCAAATAAATACACTATAGTCAGTTACAGGTTAAGAAGGTAGCGGCAAATGCCCCTCAAAGGGAATCGGATATCCCTCCGCCACCTCCGCATCCAATAGCGTCCCACCGTTTCCGTGACGTCGCGGCCAACGCGCGAGGAGGGTCTTGCCTTTCTGTACATATTTGCTTTATCTTTCGACTTTGACTTAGATTGTGGTAGCCACGAGAGGGAGATTAGAGTTCCCCCCACCGACGGAAACAAATACGACTTTCGGGGATTAGCTTCCCCCCCCGATGGATACAAAGGCTGCTTTCAGGGGCTCGGTTCCCTCTCCGATGAATACAAAGGTCGCTTTCTTAAAAAGTGGAATCGGAGACAAGTGGGAATCCATTGAAGCGGAACAAGGAGCGTTTCCAGTGAACTCTTCTTTCGACTGCGGAGAGATTTGAAACGGGCGCATCACACTTGTGGGAGGAGCTTCTCCTACCTTCTTGACTTGTAACCGACTATACAAACAAACTTGGTCATGTGTGTTTAGTTTACCTTAACCGCCTCAAGCAATTGAGTTGTGTCATAGGCCACTGCTTGAATATAAAACACACACATTATCTCACTGCTAAGCGACTTTAAAGTAGATTGCGAAATTTTGGAGGATATGATTTAGTTCTTCGAATGTTTAGCTAAACGCAATTCAGAACGAAACTGTGACAATTCAAGTGAGCGGGGGCAGGGATTGAACCCACAATTCTTAGGTTAACAGCAGCTTCACAACTGAGGGAGTGTGCTCACTGAACACTGGGCCAACTATTTCATCTTTTGGAAGTGCATTGAAAAGAGTTCCTTGATTTCAACAGCAATAACCTCAAATGTAACGGGGAACAAGCCCATTCGTCAACACTATATACTCAAATGTAAATGTGCAACGACTTAACTTGAAATTCATCCATCTTTTTTTTATCAAAACAGGAAAAATTTTCATACCATGAGAAAACTCTCAAAAGCATGGGAACCTTACCAGGCACGTAGCCAGGATTTTGTTTGAGGGGGGGCCCGCCCATGAAAAAAAGCTGTATGAGGGGGAGGGGGGAAAGGAGGCCCCAGCAAAATGGAAGATTTTGGGGGGGAAGGAGCCCATGGGTGCCCCCGCACGCCCCTTTCTGGCTACGTGCCTGGACCTCGCTGAAAAGAGAGAGTGGTGGTTGAAAAAATGTATGACGTTTACTAGTCTTTGTAATGCCGAATCTTGAGGAGGAAAAGGGGAGGGTATGCCGCTCTTCCCCCTCCCCTGCCATTTAGCGGGAAATTTCCCGCTAAACTAAACAAGGAAATTTTTTCATTCAATTTAGAGGGAAAATTTACTGCTAAGTTTAGCGAAGAAATTTTTGTGCTAAATTTAGAGGAGAAATTTCTCGCTAAATTTAGCGGAAAAAGTTTTCCGCTAAATTTAGCGGAAAAATTTCCCCGCTGCATTTAGCGGAAAGATTTCCCCGCTAAATTTAGTGGGAAATTTCCCAGCTAACCTTAGTGGGAAAACATTGCATAATGCAACGCGCAATTATGCCAACAGCGACGCCGCTCAACTCAGAAAAAGATGCCAAAGAGCTGCACTCTAAAAAAAATTCTCTTACATTCCATTCTCAGACAGACAACATTGCACATCAGTAGACCATCAGAGGAAACACTCGGATGGTCACAGCACTACGCGAATGTGCAATGAGGTCGGCTTTTTTTCACATTGCTTGGCTCTTTTTCTAACTCAAGGTTTGTGTTGAAGTCATCGAGCAACACATGCAGAGGAGTACTAATAGGTACAAATAGACATATATGCACACAGATGTTCAATATTTTAATTGCTGTTTGTTATCGTTACTCACTAGTTAAAGGCCGACGTACAACCTCGGTTTTCTAAAGGGAAGATAATCCCCTTAGCACTCCCTTCTCCTAAGCCACGAGAAAGCCTAGTTGGGGCAAGGTAAAAAGTGGGGAAGACATAGGAAAGGAGAGGGCGGGCAAAAGTGGAAAGCGTGAAGTGTACGTCGGCCTTTAACGGTAAGATGACAGGTCAAACTATACTGCTTTTCAGCACTTTTCACCGAGGCAAAAATTGCTGAGTTACTCGGCAGTTTAGCTAACCTAGTTCAGAGAGTGATATGTGTGTGTCATTGTTGTCACTATACCTATATGGCACCATTTTTTTTTATTAAACCAATAGGGTTTAAGAATTCCCACGCCTCAATTACAGAATTAATACAAAATTTTTGCGTTTTGATCGAATTGCAACCCATCAAAACACACACACAAAAAAATCAGAATTTTGCACCTTAAAAAAAAAATAATAACCACAAGTTTTTCTGCAAAAAGAGAAAGGGGGGACACAACCCCCCCCCCCTTTCTTTTTAATCCTTAAGCACTTCATATAAACAATCAGGAAAAGAAGAAACCAACATGGTTTTTGTTTACAACACGAAGAACAAAGAAAAAAAAAACACAACTTGCACAAGGCAATTCTTTTGAATCAGGCGAAGAATCGTGGCATCACGCGAAGCTCCGCTGATGGCACGACTTCTATCGGGGCAGTATCGACGCCAAAGCACCCGGCCAAATCGTGCATCGAACTTATTAGTTCCGGCTCGCAAGTTGCGTGACCTCCGTGAACGGTTTTTGTAGTTTGCCGAAAACGAAACACATTTCCCTCTCGGGGCCCCGATGTCCCAACCGAAACAGCCACGTCCCGCACAAACCTCGAACATCCGCCACCAGATGGCCGTACACGCCAAAGCGTCGTCTGCTATTGAATTCGTCTTTCCCACCCGCTTTCATATTCAAGGCGACTCAGTTTTGCTGTCAAGCTTCGTATTCCCAACCGTGAATAAAAGAACTACTATATATAATGCAATCAGTAATAAGAAAAACAATTTTTTCAGCTAATTAATTTTAAAACATGGCTGCGAAAAAAAAATTATCCGACATTAAAGTGAATGTAAGGGCGCAAACGAGCTGGTTTAAATTGAACATGACAAACTCCGACACTGCACGCAAAAAACGACACGAACACTAAAAGGTTTCGAGACCTTTTAGTGTTCGTGTCGCTTTTGTACTTACTCTCGGGGTTTATGTCATGTTCAATCCATCCGACAAATTTGTCTTTCCAGATACCATGAGAAAAAAGCTGCGGTACACTGAACGGCTTCCCTGAGTAACTGCACTCCTAATTATGTGTCAATCTTAGCTGAAAAAGAAAAAAAAAAAAAAAAACATAAAAGTGGTTGAAAGAACCCGAAGAAAAACGTCAGCGCAGACGACATGTCCTTGACAATGACGCAGTTTGGCCAACGAACAATCCGCGGTCATTTAACGGTTTGAGACGCACGGAAGTAACTTCAACCTCGAAAGAGACGAAGGAAAAAAAAAAAAAAAACACCATAGAATTTGCTTTTCTTTTATGGCTTGTTTTTTGTGGAAGCCCGCAACTCTTCAGCAATGCAAAAAGAGAGCGACAGGAAGCCCATTCGCGTTCGTTTAAAAAAGAGATGACGAAATTCGGTGAAGCGTTCGGCGGGCGACCTAGCAACGGACAAAGAGGTCCGAATTACAAAAGCCTCGATGGATTTCTAAGCGATTGTACGAGGTACCACGTACATGACAAGCGCAAAGCTGTAGTAATCAACGCCGCATCTGCAAAATTTGAAACGTCTCGCTCGCGCGAACGCATCGCCAGCTGTAGCGTGTCGTCTGCAAGCATTCGTAATTGTCGTAATCATCCAAAAGTTAAAAAGAAGTGAGTAGAGTGAGTAAGCATAAACTACGAAGTTCGGAAATAACCTATAATTAAGGCAAAAGAGGCGAAAATCGAGCCACAACATAGCAGCTAGGACTAAACGGTTTGAACACCTGCGAAGTGGTACTACCACAACCAGCGACCACATCCCCGCGGTAGTTTCTCTCCAAAGCGACATTAGGAGAGCACTCACCTTCATTTTCTTCGTCGTACTTGAGCGCTTTCGAGATGAAGTCGAACGCTTTCTTGTGGTGCTGTTTTTGTCGGATCAGGAGGTTCGCGTCTGGCTCCTCAGCCGTCGCCATGGTGGTGGTTGTCTCGGCCGTCGCTAGATGGCGGCGCGGGACGAACCCGCGGCAGACGAAACACAGCACGAGAAAGAACTGGTAGAAGACCCATCGCAGCAGCCAGAAGACGAGCAGCAGCGGGTAAAAAAAGACAGTCAGCTTTCTCTTGCGTCCGACTTGTACGCAGTCCGTTTCTCCGTCGTCGAAATTCTCCCGGTCGTCCGACGAGTCGCGAAGTAGCGCAACGGTGGACGCCATCCGCTCGTCGCCATAACACAAACTCGACTGTGGTTGCCTACCGTCCGCTGGCGCGCAACTACACAAACACAAAATTAAAGAGCTCTCCATTAGAAGACAAGGCCTGCACCTCTCACACCCATGCGTCATCATTGGTGGGCCCAGCAGTGACGCCTAGCCCGCATCAGCGACAACGCCAACGCGGCTTGCGGCGTCTCACCATAAGCGGGAAGCTAGCAGACGGCTGCAAAAACAAAAACGCACACGCGTCGCGTTTTGCGGCGTACTCTCGTCGAGCTGGGACGTGTTTGCATCTTGGGGCAGGTAGGAGAAACACTACCACTGGTGACGTCATAGTGAGGCCTTGTCTCTGGTTGTCTCCATTCGCGAAGTGTGGCGTAGCGTGTCACGTGACTTGTAATGAGCCAATTGCAGCCCGCCCGTTTTTCCCAAATCGACTTCGCCGGACGCCGGCAGCCCACACAGGCGTTCAACGGATACACACAGCGTGCCAGAAACGTGTCGAAACGCCACATGCAATCGATACGAGCGCGATTTATTCGCGTAAAAAGTGGGGGGTGATGCTAATAACGTTCTGGTTGATTAGGAGGATGCTCCAAGCCAAGGCCGACGCGGCTGTGTCGCAGCTTACATCATACCGAGGTTATGAACATATTCAGGCGGCGCCCGCAAACGAAACCAATTCGTGCGGAAGGATGTCGTTTCCTTTTGCATTGTGTACGAGCTGAATGCGGGGACCGAATACGTGTCCGGGGTGTTCTAATCGGCTTACGGTTCATGTGTAATCATTTTTCTTCGTTATGCTATCGCGTGTTTGTTACAAAGGCAAGGAATTATAGCGCCAGCTACAGTTCAGTCCTACTTTTGTTCTTGTAATATATATATATATATATATATATGTGTGTGTGTGTGTGTGTGTGTGTGTGTGTATATATATGTATAGGGTGACCACCTTCCTGCTAGCGAAATGCGGGACACGCCGGGGGGGGGGGGGGGGGGGGGGGGGGGGTAGTGTAGAGGATTTATGAACAAGCTAGCACACCATGAACTTAGGCTCTGTTAACACATTTAATACCCTGTGCTGTTTATACACCTGCAAATTGTACTACAACAATTAAGCTAAAATAATTTTCACTCCTAGTGATATATTTTTATTAGAAATTCGGTTTATATGTTACTATATGTGCTTATGTTGAAAGCATAAAAATCAACTGCTGCAGAACTCAATGCATCAAATGAAATTAAGAAACAACAAATCTTTTTCGGTCTATTGTTTACTCTCAACGCTTACTTTTATCATCATGGCCCTACTGAAATTTTTAACGCCATGTTCTTTTTCGACAGTTGTGAATTACAGGCTTCTTGTCTCGTGTAATTGTCTCTCTCCCTCTCTCTCCACCCCCCCCCCCCCCCCCAAAAAAAAAAAAAAAAAAATCTACAGCAGCGTTTTAGCATTGACATAGCGATTGGAAAATCATTACAATATTCTATATTTAAACTTTTGGCGAGCAGTGTTTCTTACAATATTTTTCCGCCAAGGGGAGAGGCCACAACGGCGCATGCGCGTCGGTTTCTGCTCCTGCAAGAACGACGGTCACTTCCCACAATTCGTGGAGAGAAAATGCAGTACCATTGCGGTTCTTATGATTTATGATTACCAGCGACATCCGCGCTTCCCCGTGCCGCGGGACGGGTGGTCACCATATATATCCGCAGTTTATGTCACAGTTGTTCGCGGAGGCATGTTTGAGGATTTTTACAAACATTGGAGCGACGAATAATAAATGGTAGCTATAATATTGTTTTACCTACTTGCATATACCGGGTGTTTTTGCGAAGACTTTCAAAAATCCTAAAAATTAGGGCGATTGAAAAAAGAAGAAACTCTCTTCGGGAACAAACTACCAGCCACGGCGGACGTCAGGAATTGCCAAAAACCTACTAATTAGCCAGATAATTAATTAAAACTTGTTAATTAACTTTTTAATTAGGGGAAATAGACATATGGTTCCAATTGGAAAGTTGCTGAGCGTTATCGAAAACCACTAAATCATTCATTTTCAGAAAGACTTTGAGAGCGTGAGACGAGTAGTAGCGCACTAAAGTTACCACTCGTGGAGCAGGTACAAGGCTAGCGGTTGCGGTAAGGCGCCCGCGCGATTTTCCCGCCTCTCTAGCCCCAGCCTTGTAGCTGCTCCACGAGTGGGAATTTTAGTGCGCTACTACTCTTCTCAAGCGCTTAAAGTCTTTCTGAAAATGACTGATTTAGTGGTTTTCGATAACGCTCAGCAACTTTCTAATTGGAATCATATGTCTATTTCCACTAATTAAAAAGTTAATTAACAAGTTTTAATTAATTATCTGGCTAATTAGTAGGTTTTTGGCAATTCCTGACGTCCGCCGTGGCTGGTAGTCTGTTCCCGAAGAGAGTTTCTTCTTTTTTCAATCGCCCTAATTCTGAGGATCTTTGAAAGTCTCCGCAAAAACACCCGGTAT